CTCACTGTCTCGTTCAGTGGCTCTCATTCATGATGACATAGAGAATGGAGAATGCTGCATGAGACATCCTTCCAGGAAGTAAGCAGTAGCTCAAAATCACCCATTGTAATGTGAGGGGGAAGAACATAAGAGCAACAACATCCATGATGGACCACCAGTAAGAATAACAAAACCTCCTGCTCAATAGACTATACATGTATGTGAACACATGCGCGCATTCCAGCATGTGCACATATTACTGAGAGTCTTGTTGCATATTACACTTAAGGCATATTAACTGCACCTAAAACACTAGCAGATGGGCATTCAAACAGTAAAACATGCTAACTGCTGTTGTAGCATAGCAAAATTAGGACTTTTCTGGCAAGAAGTATCTCCAGATCCTATTACCTAACACATGTTGAGCTAACTTCTGACTGCTCCACAGAGGTAATACGATCAGGGAACTCCAGTGTGGTTAGGGGGGTGCTGAGAGCAACAAACAGCTGTTTGTCGCTCCCAGCTCCCACAACACACTGCAGCACACCAGAGTTTTCACAGGGTCCAGCACATACGACATGTTTTATATTGACTGTAGTAGACATTACCTTGCAACTGCTCAGAAAACTTTCTAACTCATAGTAATGCTTACTGGCTGCTATACGATCAGGGAACTCCAGTGTGGTTAGGGGGGTGCTGAGAGCAACAAACAGCTGTTTGTCGCTCCCAGCTCCCACAACACACTGCAGCACACCAGAGTTTTCACAGGGTCCAGCACATACGACATGTTTTATATTGACTGTAGTAGACATTACCTTGCAACTGCTCAGAAAACTTTCTAACTCATAGTAATGCTTACTGGCTGCTTACAGATGTCAAGCCCCCCTCCACCTCAAAAAAACTAGCGCCTTACTTTAAACTCCATGCACCCCTGCGCCAAGCCCAGTGTATGCCCAGAAGAGGCATCACTTTAGTTGGACCTGACTCGTCCAACATCTGTATATATCAGATACTTTAGTGGAGCGTTTTTGGTGCTTTTATCTAATAGCTGATTCAATCAGCTATTAGAAAAAAATGCCAAAAAGCCCCTACTGAAGCACACAATCTATACCAATGCTGCAGAGCCAGGTCAAATTAATGTGCTTTCTTCCAGTAAAGTGTGTTTTTTTCCCATGCCTGTGAGCAGCCATTGCGAGCTAAATAAAACATGTACTAAGTGTTACATGCAACAAGGCCCTGAGATGCAAAAGGACCTAAAGGGCACATCTACTAGAGCCCCATTCTGCAAACACTCAATGAGGAAACAGACTCTGCGCCAGAGAGCTTTCAGTAGTTGAAGGATATGGGAAAAAACAAAAATGAAGTGACTTGATATGCACAAGTAATCATATTAAATGGAGATGGGAGGTGCAGAGTGCTGATCCTGCTCTGAATTTTGGAAACCCCAAATTTCCGGGATGTCGTTTTGGTCTGGTTCATGCTTCAAAAAGCAATTGCTTGCAAAATGTATGGGTCCCAGTCAAATTATCAAATAACCCAAAGCTCAATAAATTCAGTGTTCAGAGATTTGTTTGGAACTTGTTTTTATACATATCTAAACTGTGCACCATGAGGAACAGATACTCCTGCACCCAGTCATGTCACATGGACTCAGCTGAATGCCTGAGGGATCCACCAGAGTCCAGAAGGACATAGGGGAATTTCTGATCTTGTGTGAAAGAGCACATCCAGGCACTTCAAAAATTACTATTTTGCAGTAACTAAACAACTTCTGACCCTAAAAAACGGGAAGAGGGGTTTACTGCTTCACCCCAGCCCTATGCCTTGGAATTTCTCCTGGAAGTTAGGAGGATGGGAGGTGCACAACAGAATTACACAATGCTACCCAGGAAAGAGGACCTTATTGAACACAATTGATTAGGAGACACCTAAATAAGAGAAATTTCCAGACCTCTGGTTTCATGCTCTTTCCCAGCACCAAGCTGTGAAAAATGCCTTTGATACAAAATGGTTTGATACAAAAGGGCCAGTTGTTCAGTTCTGGCACTTCTACCAAGAGTGCAGTGTAGGCACAGAGAGGGCATGTGCCAAGTCTGAGGGCAGCTTTTATGACTTACTAGGGCTGCCAAACACGAGGCTGATCCTGAGGCACAAATGAGGTCAGCCTCAGTTCTGATCTAAAATGCACCTAGCAATAAGGGAATGGCAATGCCCCCACCTCTACAGCAGCCATGTGTCATCTACAGTTCCTTAAGGAGAATCCTCAAGTAGCAGGGAGGTCAGCTTTCATCTGCACTGTCCTGACAGAGCAGGACTTGGCCCATAATATGTAGCTTTTGAGTTATTATAGTAGCCTTATGTAAAAAAAAACCAACTGCAACTACAGAAAACTTTAATGTGCAGTATATGAATTGCCAGACCCCATATACAAGTATGTTGCTTACTTTTACGTATGTAACACACACAACAGAGAGGCCTTGATCCCTGATTATTTGCAAAGTAGCTGTTAATCCAAGCTCTGGCTCTATTCAATGGAAATCAAATTTGGTAAAGCGTCAGGGGCTTTCTTGCTGAGTGGTGTAATTTATATCTCCACATGCCCAGCCAACACACAGGACCCTGTAAGTGCAGCAAATCCTGGAGCACAAAGCAAAAGGAAATCAAAACAAGCTCTGTCCCCTTGCCCATCTAAGGTTGTGTTTTGTATTGTTTTGTTTTTCATTAAGGTTATAGTTCCCCTTCTGCTCTGGCAATGACAAAGCAAACCTGACCAAACCTTCCCCGCTGAACACGGGGAAAATTTCTGATCTGGTCTGTCCCTGAAGAGTTAACACACTGTTTAAAGTTGGAAGGGTGGGCTCAGGAGGATATGGGTGGGACACTATGGCAGCAAGGAAACCCTTGTTCACAGTTCTTTCAAAGAGGAAATGGGCACAGATTCCAAGGAAATTGTTTTGTGTTCCTGAGTAATGGGGGTGGGGAACAGCACGGAGAGGCCGGCTCTTTTTACTGTTACATACCACTATTAGTGCTGCCACAGCTAATTCCAAAGGGAGAAGGCACAACCAAAATATTTCCAGGCTCTGTCGTTTCTAAATCTATTTATCAAAATTAAAACCAAAATATAGTTGGGCGTTTCCTTTCAGAGGAAAGGGGATTTCTAACCACCTCTGTTGAGCCTGTTTTGGATAAGGAGTTCTGGCACAGCCACCTTGGTTTTGGCAACCCAAGGCACCAACCCAGCCGGGGTGGGAACAAAGAGATGAAGCAGGTGAGGTGAGGACTGTTCTTAAAATACTTTTCTCCTGGAGTCCAACTCCAGTGCCCTGTCTACTCACACAGGCTGGCTACAGGGAGCAAGCAGCAGATGGAAAGGGGATCAATCCAAGAAAAAAAATAGGAATGTGCATTGGACAACATTTATTTTATTCCAAGGATGAGACCAACCCTCACTCATCTTCATTTCTGTTGCTTCCACCCGGCTGCCCCTGCCAGTGTTATTTGACTTCCCTCCTCTCACTATCCTCAACAACACCAGCATTTTCCAAAAACCTGTCTGCCCTTCCCCCCACCTTTTTATCAGCTACTGGGGACATTATGGGAGGATCAGGACTTAACTGCTTCCCACTGTCTCAGGCATCACTGACTTCTACTGCTCCACTCTGAAACCAACCTGCAGCTCCCTTTCAAACTCCTCCCAACTACTTACATAGCTATTTTTAAATCTACCTTTTGCTGTGTATGGGCCAGATTAGCTCTAGTCCTCACGCAGCAGAGCTGCGTCAAGAGGAAGGCATAAGAACCCTTTTCCCATGTACACTCAGGCATGTTTATGCTACCTTCATGCCAAACCTGGGCCTGCTGCCATGAGACACAGCCCTCCCACTTGCTCTGGGGCTGTGAATGCCAAATCCTGGAAATGAGGCTGTGGAGCCACATGAAAGCAGCCCTGAGCAGGTGCCAATAATCATGGCTGTGATAGAGCATCTGATAGCGGTGTGAGTTCATGTCCACTCTAAGACAGGTCCATTGCCACTCTAACAGGCTCCCTGCGGTTAGGAAGTGAGTGGGTCTCTTCAGCTCAGCACAGAGATGGTATAGACAGGCCCTCAGTGACTGCCAGGGATCCTGGTTTATTCTGATAAAAAAATCCCCCATTTTTGGATTTAAAAAGTAACCCAAAATCCACCTTTTTTCCATGATTAAAATGAAATGCCACTGATATATAGCTATATAAATATATAATATAATATAATATAATATAATATAATATAATATAATATAATAGTGGCATTTCATTTTAATCGTGGAAAAAGGTGGATTTTGGGTTACTTTTTTAAATCCAAAAATTGGGGTTTTTTTTTTATCAGAGAAAACCAGGATCCCTGGTGACTACCCCTATCTCTGCACAGAGGGAGACAAAGTCTCCTTCTTTTGTGCATCTGCAAAGAAAAGTCCACCTGTAGGAGGCAAGGCTGTGTCCTCTGCGCCCTGCCTTGTTGCCTGACCTTGCATGCAGGCATTCAACCTGTGCATTCTTCCTGAGTGACAAGCAGCCATGGAAATGCAGTTTTCCTCTCAAGAAACGGTTGCTCCTGGAGTTCCCCCACCTCAGGTGAAGAAGTGAAGCAGGTCTGCATGTCCCTCTTCATGCACCCAGTTGCAAAGTACATAATCTGGGTCTGGGTAAGGGTTGCATCTTTTAATGGAGAGGCCTGATTCACTTCAGATGAAATGTAACCTGGAAACTCAGGCAGCGGGGCAGGGAAGAGGGCGGGAGCTCTCAAGGAAATATTTTGCTGAAAACAAAACTTTCAAAGCCTTTTAACTACAGAGCACTGAAAATAGATTTCAGACCCAAAGGGAGGGGGAATGGGAAAAGGTTGTGAATGGGGGGGAGAGAAAGATCAAACAACTGACAACAACCCTGGGGAAAAGGGACACAAGGGTTGAGAAAGATTTTTTAAATACATTTCCTGCAGAAGCAGGAGACACGGAGCGCCAATTTGTTGCAGCTTGGTCTTAGCAACAAGTTCTGCTCCACAAGAGACACTTCAGCTTCACTCCAGACACCGCCGCTCATTACCCGCTGCTGCATCCTTCAAAACAGGAAGTGTTGCCAGAGCATTCATTTATCTCTTAATTGCCGTTCTTTTGTTGCCATGAGAAATGTTTAGTTATAGATTTCATGCCCCCCTACCCCTGCCACCCCAGATCAACCACCGCTGATTGCAAACACGATGAAGAAATTTGAGGTTGATTTAGAAAAAGAAAAAAATCTTTCAGGAGATCAGTTAACTTGCTTGCAGCTTTAATTAAAGAGCCCTGTTCTGCAATAAGGGAGCTAGCTGCCTTTGGCCTGAAGTGGGAGTGGAGTTCTTTGGGATTTCTCCTTGTCATTATTCTTTCTTGCTCTTGTTATTGTTTTCGGTGTCTCAAGCTCTCCTTCCCAACCCACAGTTTACTTTAAACAGATGTTTTATTTGTTCATAACATGCCGAATATTTGCTCTGGAAGAGGGATCTTTTTGTGTTTTGTTTTGCCTTTCTTTTAAAAGTAATACGGTTTAAATTTTACAAAAGTGCTTGTGAAATAACAGATGAGATATATGAGTAGTTACAATTAATTGGATAATTGATTTAATTCATTTATTGCATTTCAGTTTAGCGTATTTATTTCTTAGACAACGGAGCACTTATGGAAGAAAGAGTGGATAAGAGCTGACGGAACAAATGCTGGAGGAGAAAAATGCCCATCAAACAAGGTAAGTCAGGGAATCTCTGGCCATGCAAGAACAGGGCCTGAGAGGTCCAGGCTACTGAATCTGTGGAGAGATGGTATGAGATGGGGTGGAGAGGGATCTTACTTGTTTCAGCCAGGTCTAACTCCTTGTATAGACCTACTGATTTATGCAGCAGTTCATGTTAATTGCTGTTGTGGGTACACCGAGTACACTGAAATATGAAAGCCTTGGGGCTTATGAACAGGACACCGGATTGGGAGTTAAGAAACTTTGTTTCTACCCTTGACTCTTCAATAACTTGTGATGTGACATTGAGAAAATCACTTTGCTTCAGTGCCTGTGTTTCCCCTGCCATTTGTTCTCAGACTTCTCCATCCAGGACCAGTCTGTGACTCATTTTTCACTGGCTACCCCTTGTATGGAGCTGCTATCTGTGCATGTTGGCTGGAATAAGAAGGACTTTGGTGAAAGACTGGAGCAGAGGAGAACCAGGAGAGACAACCTGAATCATTGTGTACTCTTAGTGCTTCTCCTGGGCATGCTCAACTCTGTCTGATTGTTCCCTTCATTGTCTAAGAATTCAACAACTGCCATTTACTGGGGCAGACCATAGGTCTGCCTTGCCCAGATCCTGTATCCAGAGAGAGTTTCACTGGGCAGTGTCCACTGATTCCTTGGACTCATTTGGGGACCAGCATGCACTGTCCAGTGTGCTCTGCCCCCTTGGTGCATTTATTTTAAACCTATGACCTCACTCTCATCCCTGTTATACATATTTTGATTTGTCCCAAGGAATCAGTTGTTACTTACCCAGTGGCCTCCCTTCTAAGGGAGGCTTATGGTGTTTCTTAGTGGGCATTGGCCCACAGGCCCTTAAGCAACAAGTAGGCCTACATCATGCAGTGGCAGAGAATGGTTGCTGAAAGGGAGAGTGATTTGTGTATGACAAGGGTGTTTTTCTCTTGAAGCCTCCGGCATTTAAGGTCTAGGAAGTTCTGTGTGGCTATCACTCATCTGGGAAGGACCTTCCACTCTGTGCTAAGACCAATGAGGGGATAGCCCAAGGACTACTCTTCAATGACTTCCCGACCATATATTTTATATAGTCTTAAACACTGCCATCACCTCCTGGGCAGGCCTACCATCTCTGGATCTGATTATTGTTTCATGGGCATGGAGTTCAGCCAGACTGAAGAGCACTGGCCAGGCTCTGTGCCCACAGAGTGGGAAGATTAGGATCTGGCCTTTAATGCTTACCATGCCCTGTGGCTCAAGAGTCACACATTTTTTTGAAGTTGTGCTGCTGCTGTTTTATACCAGCCCTGCCTGTTATTATGTTTATGTGCAAAAGTTCCCTCTGTCTTCAGTGGTTCTTCAGCAAACTAATGGTGTGATATGGCCTGTTGAAAATATTTATTATGCTTCCATATGATGCCTGCCATCTGGAGATTTCAGAGCATTTAACACATGCTAACAAACTGTTTCTATCCTTGACTCTGCATTAACTTGCATTAATGAGGTTGAGATTTACAACCTCCTTAAAACAAGTACAAACAGTCACCTGCATGAACAAAATATATAGATAGCTACAAAACATTCAGTGAAGACTCATTGTGTCTCCTGGTTCTCCCCTGCTCCAGTCTTTCACCAAAGTCCTACTCATTAATAGCCACAGGTGTAATTTGCTCTGTGTTAAATGGCACGATTTGTACATGTAACTGAAGATTTAGGTATCTAAAATTCTTTCTGTGCGGTCTTAAAAAAATGTGCTATAAGATTTTTTTTGTCGCCACCATTATCCTCACTCAGAAATTCAACCCCCTGTTAAGACCAGTTGAGAATCTGGCTCCTAATAGCATTGCAGCCCACCATGTGTGCATCTACATGAGATGATTTACTGCACAGCAGATTAATTTTCTGTACAGTAAAGCATCACCATCTACACATGTGTGGCAAGTAGGGTGCAGTAGACTAATTTACTGTGCTGACAGATAGTTCCCTAGCTACAAGTAGTACCTGGTGGCATAGTAAATTACTGCGCTTTAAATGTATGCATAGATGGAGACATCAGGATTAGTTTATTCCAGCTTAAATTGAGCCGGAGTATATCCAGTCACATTAATTGCATGTGTAGATGTACCCCATGAGAAACACAAAAAAACCCCTTAGGACTGGCTGGAAATTCTGGAACAAACCTGGACCTCATCTGGTAGTAAGCCCAAGCAGGCGCACACTTGTATCTGCATAGAGTCCTAGTGATTCCAGCACTGATCCAGGAGGTAAAGCTCAGTGTAGAATTGACCCCTTGGCTATCAGTTAGTGTATAAATGGGGAAAGAATTTGGCTGTCTGCTCTACAAATATTTTGGAAAATCAGTGAGTTGAATTGCCCTTAGACAACTTCACAGAACTGGTTGGAGAGGTACTGATCTTTTGTGCGCTATGGTTTCTAGCTATTTAAAAACAACAACAACAACAAGCCTTTCCAAGGTAAAATTGGAGATTTTGCTTTATATCTTCACTACAAAACTATACTGCCAAATCATTAATCAAAGCGCTTCTACAGTAGAATAACCGATATTTCTAGTAACAGCATCCAACTGATATTGGCATTTAACTCCAATTATTCTAAACCAAAATGTCATATAGAATGATAGCCAGTCTTCCTCACCCAAGGAAAGATTTTTCAAGCCAGACTTACAAGGATCCAAATTTCCTAAGTTCTTTTTTTCCCATTTCTTTTTCCTTTAGCAGCAGATATGTGGAGAAAATGGAACTGTTTAATCTTGGAGCCTGTTGGAGATGGAAACCACAGAGATTATGGTTAAAATATTACCTCCTTAATAGAATTTACTGAAGAGAATTACACCAATACTACAATCTCTATAAAGAAAAAGTAAAAAATGTATCAAATTTAGTTAAAAGCATGGTTTATTACATTTTTCTATTCCCCTTCCTGTGTTTAACGTTCTTGCTTTCTCCCAACTGGGATTACAAAGCTGCCAACTTTGACACTTTTATCACAAACCTTACAATATATTCTTCTTAAAGCCAAAAATCCTAGAGTCATGTGATTAGGTACCACATTCAATTTTGGTAAATTTCTAGCCCCCTTGCTTGTAGGAAAAAAGCTTGAAAATGTGAACTGTCAATGCACTGGTTAACCAAGTGCACCTTAAAAGGATCAATAACAGAAGCAACAAAAATAACCCCAACTCTATCCATTTTAAAAATTGTAGAAATTTTACGTGTGTCATAATATTAGGGACCTGAGTCATGATTTATGAATGTCTAGGGTTAGCAGTATTGCCATCATTAGTCACAGATAGTTCTGAATTAATTAACCCTCAGAACTATGAGCAAGGTATTTACCAAACAAACGAAGGATTAATTTGGAAGTAGATGGCACACCAGGACATCATTTGAGTGCTCTAGTGACATCATATTAACAACTAATAAACATTAGTCAGAGTTATGAGGCCAGTTCCCAAAATGACTGTTTGGATAAAGAGTGCTTCCAGAAACTGGTGTCAAAGAAGACTGTGGTAGCCATAATAATTTAGGTGCAACTCTGACCTGCTTTCTTCCTGACGATAATTTTGGGCCATGCTGGATAACCACAAATCTGATCTCTGACCTGTCCTGACATCTTTAGTTGAATAACTGAAACTGAACTTTTTTTCCCAAACTGGTTTTCTCTAAGTGTGTGGACAACATTTCTTATATTTCCATGAAAGCCACAAGGCTCTGGTAGAACATACAATCATTCCTCAACTGGAACACCTAGTTTTACAAACAGGAAAGGAAATAGTCCCAAATGTGTTAAAAACCTCTCCAAAACTCCATAAATTATTTTTTTCTGGAAATTCTGTAGCATATCTGGAATACACGACAGTGTGGCATAAGAGTTTGATTGGCAGAAATTTTGGATGATGTATTAAAAAAAAAAGTTGAAAAGGTTTCAGGCCTTAAACCTGTCACTGGTCCAGGATTTAATTTTGTCCATCTGACAACTGAGGCTGAAGGAAGAAAGAAAGAAAAAAAAATTCTGACAGGCTGATTTACAAAAAAGAAATGGTGCCTTTTTGAAGATGATCAGAGTTTTCAATTGCTAGAAGTGGTCCCATTAGAAATGGATTAGCAGACAGAGTACAGCTGAGGCGGTCAAAGGTGCATTGTAAGTGCCATTTATCATATGGATATTATTCTCACATACATACTGTATATGTGTGAGACAGAGAGAGAGAGAATACATATAAGGGCCAAATTCTGGATTCAGCAGCCTAATTACAATTACTTATGCTGTACACTTTAACTGAAAACAAAATGAGACCTAACATGTATCTATTTAAAAAAAAAACCCATAATGTAGGAACCATGACTTATTTAAAATAGCTTGGAGAACACTGTTGGGTGGCCAGTAAGTAATATAATATATTGTTCATACTGAAAAAATATTCACAGGTAACTAACTGTGGCTTTTTCAGCCAGATTTCTGTACTTTTGTAACAGTTAAACTGCATTTTCACAAATATTTTCTTCTCCATCGCTCCCTGCATTGAGAACATTTCAGTGAACTGGGTCTGGTATTTCCTCAATTTAACTACCTAAATTGAAAACAAAGACACCCCTGCTCCTACTCCCTAATTTTTTCTCTGCCAATTAATATTTTTTTTTCCCTTTGGTCCCTCTCAGCTATTAAAGCAATGTCAGAATTTATGGGTTAATGCAAGAGTATGAAGCTCCACACCATCCCTGTATGTTTCTTTTCTAGCTGTAGAAGAGTACGTCTCATAGTACATTCATGCACTGATTAATGATCAAACAGAGCAGGCTTTTCAGGAAAGCTTAGTGGACATGTTTTCTGCCTCCCCTGGGCATACTCATCTGATGCACAAGAAGTGAGATGGGCTTCCACATACTGACAGAGTAATGTAGCCATGCAAGGAGGAGGGTAGGATCAGAAAATAAAGAATTATCAGCAAACCCACTCTATATTTTCCATTTGTCATTGCTGCTAACTAAATATCCCTGTTTTCTGTCAGCAAGTGATAGCAGCATGAAGTTTGCCTTGAGCTCTGGGACAAACCAGTCATGGAAAGCATCAACCTGGGATAAGGAGACTTTTAAATAACAGGCTAGAGCTCAGTGATCTATGATGGCTGGTTTCCTTTGCTTCTACTCCCCCTTGTCTTGAAAGTCTCTCTCATCTCATTGCACACAACCACTGCAGCTGTGAACTGTCCTAGAGCTTGCTTGGATATGCAAAGACAGTCAATCCAATAGATATCTTCAATGTGTTTTATGTTCCCAGAACCTCCTCATTTCTTTTTGAAAAGCTGCTTTTTGTTCCTTGAAGGAATATAAAAATAATTTTAAATCCCCTGAGCTTCAAAGTTAAAAAAAAAGGTTAAAATCCACTGTTCCTCCAGCCTCTTGCAATCCATTAGAGGAGGAGGGGGTCCTTGCCTATTTGACCTTTCAGGAAATTGAAGTATCTTTCCTGCTAACTCTTTCATTGCCCCAAGAGAATTGCTGATGAGATCAGGCCTGGGACAAGCGAGACAAAAGAATTATGATTTTTTTTAATGGGGAAGAACAAGACAGAAAACAGAACTGCAGTGTCTGGGAGCTCTAAGTTTGCTAGCGTTAACTGAAGATAGAGTGATGGTCTTCTACTGAAGACCAATGGGGCAAGGTTCTCATCTGGTGCAAAACAGAGTACCTCCACTGAAATCAAGTGAACTATATCTTGTCATACCAGCTGAGACTGTGGCCCTAACTGTGAAGTTCAGGCCTTTATATTGGAATGACTATATACTGAAAAGAGGACAATGATAGCAAGGATACTAACGGAAATGGTGGCTTAAATCTTTGGGAGCCAGACGCTTTACAGAGGTTGAGTAATATCTTTCTCAGTGTTCATGATTGCAGGCACATCCCTGAACAAGGAACACTGCATCTTGATGCAGAAATACATCTGTCCAGTTCCTACCCTGATTCTTCCTTGTTCCCACTGAGCAATAACCTCTTACTAGACTTTATTAGTAATATATTATTACTCACCCTGGGCTAGCTCAGCAGTCCTAGCCAACAAACATGGGTTGGAGCCAAGACTGCTTATTTCCTGCCTCTCCTGTCAACTTGGTATGGAACTACAGTCAGCAAGTGACTAACACGTCTTACTTCTTTGTGGCTGAACCTAAAATAAAAGTAGCTCGTGCAGGAAAATGAAGAGAGTTCTGGCTCCATTTCACTCTGTTCCAGGGGTGTATAGACTGAGCACCAATCAAGCTCTCCAAGAGTAATTTCATTGACTTAAAAGGGGCACTCCTGGGGAAAGATATCATTCAAAATGAGTTGCCTGGCCTGTAGCAGTTAATGTTGAGTAATAGCTTGTTCCCGACACAGTCCCACTTAATTCTGTGGAACTGCTGGATGAAGAAGGTGCTGATCACCAAGTGAAAAACACATCAGAATCTGACTACCAGTTCTACATTAGGCAGAAATTTGCAGTTATGCAAATTTCAAACTTCACTAACTGGGTGAAGTAAACACTAATGGAAAGAAGAGTTAAGATACAGAAGGCTGAACTCAAGAAGAGATGATAGCTGAAGTATTTTCTCAGTAATACCTGGTCTTCCAAGAACACTTACCTTCATGCTGCCATTTTTTCCTTCTGTGACGCAGCGGTGTCCCATGGGTCTCTGGCACCCAAGGGCCAATGCCTGCATTTGCACCCCCACCCTCCAGGATGAGCAGGGTGTGGGTCCCGAGGCAAATCACCTGTGTAGGGCCCTGCCTCCCACCCCATGGCACTTCTGCCAGAGAATTGGCAGCGTGGCATACCAGCCATGGGAGGAGGGACGGTGGCCAGAATTTCTGGCCAAAATGGCAAAAGAAACCCACAACCCACCAGGCAGGTGAGTAGGCCATACATAAAATGTGGGAGGTACCCCAGTCTCTCCGGCCGGCATGCCCCACCTCCCCCACTGCCAGGGCGGTGCCTGGAGACCATGGCTCCCCTGCCTGCAGTCCCAGGTTTTTCCCAGCTCACTGCTCAAAGGGTGGCAGTGTTGCCAGGCCCCAGCTAGCACTGAGGCAAAGGGGGTGTGTGCAGTGCATGTATCTGTTGATGATACGGAGCTTTTCAGTCTCCCTCCCTGCTTCTGTATACTGTCTACAGCAAACTAACAGGCAAGCAAGCTAGGGGTGGTGGGGCAGATAACTGTCACCCCTATCTCAGTGTTTATCACCCCGTTAAGAAAACAGAGGGACATTACCAGCTACCTGCTGATTCTGCCTGTTGATTCAGCACAGACCCAGCATGTAGTCTACTAGCTAATACACAGATGCCTTCTCAAGGCAGAGGGGAGGGGGGATTCCTGCTTAGTAGGGGGTGGCAAGGGGGAAGCGGGGAGCAAACAGCTCTTAAACAGCTTTTCCAAGGAAGGACATTAAGCTACCTGTTAATAGCTCCAAAAAGCCTGCCTGCCTCTATTGTCTCCCACAGGATGGACCATATCCAGCATGTGGTCTGCTAGCTAATACTGAGGTGTCTGTGAGGGATGGGAGAACGCCTGCTTAGCACAGAGTGGGGGGGAGCAGAAGCCAGGCAGATGCCTGAAGAGACTGCTGAGCTCCAGTGAGACAGCAGAGGGGAGGGGCCAGTCCTTCTGTGGAGCAGAGAGCCCCACCCAGCCAGAGAACATGCTGGGGTGCTGGGGGACTCTGATTTATCTTAAACCAGCAAGGGGTTTAGGACAGACATTGTATAAACTGGTTTGAGCCAAATCAGTTAAGTCGGGTACTACATTCAACCAGGTTTCTCTCAAACTGGTTTCAGCCATTTTCAAACTGGTTTAT